AACTACGTGATTAAACAAATATTACATTATACCAGATATTTTGGGTGAAATAGCAGATATAACAGGACAGTTACTTCTTAACCCCAGACACTGAATAACCAGAAAAAAAAAAATAAACAAGTGACCAGTGCGAACATTTATTTAACAACACCTCGAATTCCAAACAGTTTTAAACCTTGTCCGGACGAGTAACCGAGCCAAAACCCCAAAACGCAGCTCATAAACCCGATCAGAATTTATAACAGCTCCGAAGAAAACCCAGAATAAACCGGCGAGGGACCAAACTCAAGTCCGCCGGAGTCCTAAACCACGCCCCCTCCGGATCCAAATGCCTGGGCTCCTCCGCGCGCCCGTGCCTCCCCCTCTCCTCTCCTCTCCTCTCCTCTCTCCTCTCTCTTTCTCGCTCGCTTCGGCTTTGGCTTTTTCCTCGCCTCCTTGCCCCGGAGATGTCGAGATGCCGCTTTCTCCCCCGTCTCCCCTCTGCGTTTGTGGACACCTATTGATTCTCCGCGCACACTTCTTTTTGGATTTTAATGCCTGAGTTAATATTTTATCTTCTGGCACTACTCTCGGGTAGTTTGCGGGGCTTTCTTTGGTTTTGCGACAAGCGGTTACGCACGACGGCTGGCCATCTCTGCAAGGTAAAAAACCAACGCACAACACGCAGACAAGACGCGCCGTGTTCGCGTTTTTCAAAGCAGCGGGACTACGGAGGATTCGGAGAGTTAAAACAGAAATATCGCGGGGTTTTGGTTGTAAATTTGGGTTTTGGTGCAGTGCAGCGATACGGATGGATAGTTGAGCGGAGCCGCTGTAGTTTTTTTGTGAATGGTGAACGGCGCTTTGAGTTGTAGTCCCGTTTGTGGTCTAGTCTCGGTTAGGACTTGTTTGGACCGCGTTTGGTCCCATTTAAACCGGATTTTAGCGCCGGGTTTTCCACGCTTTAGCCCCGGTTTATCCCCCCCCCACCCCCCGTATGTAGGTCACTTCTAGCCGGGGGTTTAGTCCTGGTTTAGTCCTGGTTTGGTGCCTGTAAGTCTGGGATTTGGTCCTGGGTCCAGTCCGGGTCTGGTCCTTGGTCACGTAGGTTATAGGTTACTGCGTTTTCTGGTCAGTCCTGGTCCAGTTCTGGTCTAGTCCTGGCTCCAAACTGGCTTTAGCTGTTCATAATTTTACTACACAGTTTCACAGTACTACTACTACTACTACTACTACTACTACTACTACTACTACTACTACTATCCAAGTTCTATCCAAGTGTAGTGACTAGTTAATAAATATTTTTTGCACTTATACCTGCTTCATGTACTTTCAGTTGATCAAGAGTTTCTTAATCCTGCACAGTTTACATAGTTTATCCCAAATTACTACTACTACTATTACTATTAGTACTACTACTACCCAAGTTCCCTTCTAGTCCTACTAAAAAGTGTCGTGACTAGTTAATAAATATTTTTTGCACTTGTACTTGCTTCATGTACTTTCAAAATATAGTTTAAATATTGGTCAAGAGTTTCCTAATCCTGCACATAGTCCTAGTTTATCCCAAATTACTACTACTATTAGTACTAGTACTACTAGTACTTTTGTCCCCAATGAGTCCTACTCTAGTCCTACTAAAAAGTGTCGTGACTACTTAATAAATATTTTTTTGTACTTGTACCTGCTTCATGTACTTTCAAATATAGTGTAAATATTGATTAAGAGTTTCCTAGTCCTGCACATAGTCCTAGTTTATCCCAAATTACTACTACTATTAGTACTAGTAGTACTAGTACTACTACCCAAGTTCTCTTCTAGTTCTGCTAAAAAGTGTCGTGACTACTTAATAAATATTTTTTGTACTTGTACCTGCATCATGTACTTTCAAATATAGTTTAAATATTGATCAAGTGTTTCCTAATCCTGCATTTAGTCCTCGTTTATCCCAAATTACTACCACTACTACTACTAGTACTAGAACTACTGCATAGCTCGAATTATGTAAATAAATAACTTGACTTTATTGACTCTGTACATTAACTTTATCTCATGTTTATAAAGTCTTCCTTTCGTGGAACCTGGTAATTTAAGCATTAATTAATAATAGCGTTGCGCAGAAACGATGTAATAATTAATACATTTGTTGTCGCTATGTTAAAGTTTAAAGTTTTAAGTTTGGGGGAACTACATAAACCATGATCCTTTGCTCCATTTCAGTCAATCCATAAAGATATTACTGTACTGCAACAGATTCAGAGAATATTTTTGTCGGCTAAATGCACTTAGACCCTTAAGAAAACATATATTTATTTGAATATTTATGTTTTTTTTTTTTATTGCAGTAACAAATTTTAGTGAAATATTGCGATAAACGGTAACATGGAAACTACTTACCGTCACTGAAACTATAAAAAGCAACACTGTTTTTTTCTTTTTTCCGTACACAATATTGTTAAAAGACAACAAATTAATAGTATAATTTCCACAAGATGAGACGAGATACGAAATTTGATGCACAAGAACGAGACAAGACGAGATTTTAACATAATTTCTAATCGTTTTATGGTTCATTTTCCAATTTTTTGACCTCATTATTTTGTATTTATTTGATTTCGTAGTTTTTTTCCATTCTAGTGCTGTTTTTTGGAACTGTAAAAGCCGTAACTCCCCGAAGTGTAACCCAATTTTTGTCCGATCCAAACGTAAACACTTGGGGAAAAAAATCTCGCATGATCGTTTTTCTGTCGTGTGCACGATCTTGTGGCAGTTTTGTCTCAGGAGATCTTGTACCGTCCCTACAATTTATCAATAATTACCCAGATAAGTTACGTTTTCAACCCTCTACAGCTTAAAATACCAAAAAATCTTGCAAAAAATACGATAAATCGACATAGGAATTTGCATCGTAAGCTTTCGTTTGATGAACATTGGGGGTGGAAGATGTTAAAAAAATGTGGAAAATCGCAATTATTGGTCTTAAGAAATGCAAAAAAAGAGTCAAATATATTTTCTTTTAAAAATGACTCAGAAATTACGTGATTAAAATAACAGAAATTTAGTTTAATCTCGGTAACAAGATCATAATAACGTGTTTTTGCTTCCCTTTTGTGTAGAGATCGATATATCGTTTCGCCGATATTTACCATTGTTTGCATATCTGTTATCGGTCACAAATCTCCAACAGATGCCGATATTTAGTTGAGTTTAGCATAAATGTAGATTAAAAATAACTGTTTAAAGCTTTATTTGAACACTTAAATCCAAAGACGGTAGAAATGTAACGATGTGAAAATCCCTCGATACGATGTTTTCACGATATGCGCCTCACGGTACGATATTTATTGCGATATTTTGTGGAGGCGAACGAAACTATGTTATGAATTATGCGCCTTTTTCCTTTTAAAGCCTTGAAAAGCCTTTGGTGCTGTTATAATGTGAAGAATTAAGATGTAAAAGTGCATAATAACAGTTGTTTATTTGTGTAGTCTGTAATGACAACAGCAAAGGATCATGGGATATGTAGTTCCCTCTGTTTTTTTAGCTGGCAAGTTTATTTGTACAGCACAGTTCGTACACAAAGTAATTCAAAGTGTTTTTTAGAATAAGAAAGACTTTAAAATCTCAAAAAAGACATTAAAATCACCAAAACTACTAATTTAAGCAATGAGACTTCGATATTATTGTAGACGGTACTCCAAAAATATGACTCTTCGTAGTAAAAAAAAGGTTGCGGGTGAGTTTTTACGAAGTTTGAATCAAATTTTATTGATCCACAACTTAAATTATTTGGACATATTTCCTCACACATCACAATATATTATAATAATGAAGAGAAAACAATATAAATGGCGATAAAAACTGTAAAAAATTTGGAAAAATAAACTGACACCAGGAAACTGGTGTCAAATACGGTGTAATTGTGTGTATAGATTGATAATTCGGGAAAAAATACCAAAATCAGCTCGACGTATTGGTCCAAAAATATTGTTTATCGAGTTTATCGACCATCGGCTCCACTGGTTTCTTAAAAAATCTATAAAAAAAATTATTATTAGGGATATAATAACAATAATAATCAGTATTGTCATTATTTAGTTCTTGTTTTTTTAATTTTAATATGTTTTGAGCCTTTTGTTGAGTTGTTTTTTTTAATTATTATTATTATTATAAATTATTTCCTCATGGATTTGTATTAAGTATGAATGGGTGTGGATGGAATATGTGGGTGGTGTTCGGTTTGTCAATAATTAATAAATAAATCAATAAATACATTACGTTTTTAAATTTACGGTCCGTTTAGGATTCTTGAAATTCCGATAAGACTTTTAAATAACACTTTTCTGATTTGTTACTCTGAACTTGGAGATGTTTGTTGTAAATTAAGGTGGAATATACTGACAAAAATTCGTATATCTGTATTTTTTGGAGTATCCTGATTTTTTTCGCAGTCCAACATGTGCGAAAATGTGTCTTAAAATGTCCAAGTTTGAGGAGGATCAAATAACAAATATGGACGGACTGTAAAAATCCCCACAAAAATGCAGAAATATGAGTTTATGGGCTTATTTGAAAGACTACAGCAGCCTTCACATGCTTGAGTAATCCTGCGTTATTGGTCTGTCTACATCTCCAACGTTTAAAATGCTCTGTCCCAACTTGTGATGTCATGAAGTGGTAGTTTTTCGAGTCAAGAGCTCCATTTACTTTTCGTTTAGTTCAGTAGAGTTTGGCGATTCCGGGGCTGAAATGGTCCAAATGATTCTAGCGAAAGTGTGTGTGGTTTAAAAACGCAGTGGAGCACTTCCTGTATCACCGCATGACATCACAAGGTGGCGCAGAGTGTTTTCAGTTTGAGAGAAGAACCTAAATATGCAGGATTTGTGCGTTACTAGACCAGTATTTGAGTTAACTGCACTAAAACTACTACTACAACTACTACTATGACTGCAGTATCTGTCCTAGTACTAGTCCTGGTCCAGTCCGTGTCTCTTGGTCTGGAGTAGTCCTGGTCTAGTCCTGGTCTAGTCCTTGTCCCTCATTGGTCCCGTCCTGGTCTAATCCTGTCTCGTGCCCTGGTCTAACTCTAGTCTAATCCTGGTCTTGCTCCAGTTCAGCCCTTGTCCTTTTTTTGGCTTGGTCTAGTCCTGGTTTAGTCCCAGTTCCAGTTTTCATCTAGTCCGGGTCTCTTTTTTCGGGCCAACACTTGTCTAGTCCTGGTCTTGCTCCTAGTCTAGTCCCAGTCCAATCCTGATAAACCTGTTTCTTAATAATCATCGATTTCATGGTTTTACAATTTCAATTAATCAAATTCATCTGATTAATTGCCCAACCCTAAACTTATCTAATACTGATCTACTTCTGGTCTAGTCCTGGTCTAGTCCTGGTCTAGTCCTGGTCCAGTCCTGGTTTAGTCCAGGTTCAGTCCTTGCCCAGTCCAGGTCTAGTCCGGGTCTGTTGTTCTGGTCCAGCACTTGGTCTTGCTCCTTGTATCATCTCAGTCCAGTCCTGATAAACCTGTTTCTTAATAATCATCGATTTTATGATTTTACAATTTCACTTAATCAAATTCATTTGATTAATTACCCAACCTGAAACTTGTTTAACACTGGTCTAATCCTGGTCCAGTCCGGGTCCAGTCCAGGTGCAATCTGGGTCTCTT